AAAATACAAATGAAAACTTGGAAAATGTTATTTTTACATGTTAATAATTAGTAAAGAACTCTAGCAGTGATATCTTTAAATGGCCCAAGGTAAAATCTTTCAACTCAGAATTCTTTACTCTGCAGAAATACTCGTTTCAAAAGTGAAGGAGAAATACTGTGTCAGAGAAACAGAAACTGAAAGAGTTTAGACGTATATAAAAGGAAGTTGTTCAGGCAGAAGGGATTTAACACTAGAAATTTGGATCTGTATAAATAATGAAGTGTGCTGGAGAAAGAATAAACAAAGATATAAGATTCATGACTTACTTATTAATTTTTTTTGCTTTTCTTAGTTTTCATTGGTTTGAAAGATGACCATAAAACAAAAATATCAGCAATGTATTTTGTGTTTAGAGTGCACATGCACGACACACACAAAAGTAATATAAGGGATGGTTAGTTTTGAATATACTGTAGTAATATCTTTTATATTATGTGAGAAATGGCATAGTTTGAGGTGAGGTTCTGATTAATTATAAAGTTTTGGACAACCACTAAAACATTTTTTTTCAAGAGGCATGAATAAATAGCCAATAATGGAGGTAAAATGGAATCATAGAAATATATTTGGTTAATCTAATTTAAAAAAAGAAATAGGGGAAAAAACCAAGAGTAGATGGATCAGATAATAACAGTGAACAAKAGAACAATTTTATTTCAGCCATATTAATAATTATGTTAAATATAAATGGTATAAGTCTAGTAAGACAGATTTTTCAGATTGAATACAAAAGCAAAATCCTTATATATGCTATTTGAAAGAAACACAATTTTATATATAAAGACATGGGCTGGGCGTAGTGGTGCATGCCTCTAATAATAAAAAAAAAAGGTTGGGTAGTTCAGTGGTCAAGAATCCCTGGGTTCAATCCCTAATTTGAGGCGGGGGGTTAAAGTAAATGAAAAGTGAAAGGATGTGAAAAATGATATACATGGAAACACAAATCAAAGGAAGGCTAGGGTATGTATGTTAATATCAAATAACATAGACTTCAGAGCAAAGAAAACTACCAAGGATAAAGAGGTACATTAAACAATGATAAAGGGATCAGTTCTCCTACAGTCTTTTAAGTATGTATATATCTAACAACAGACCTTAAAAATGCATAGATTAAAAATGGAAAACTAAAAGGAGAAATAAACAGATCAGTCGTTAAGACTGGAGTCTATAATACTTCTCTTTCGATAATTAAACCAATTTGGAAAATGAGGATATAGGGCTTCTAACAACTTGACGTAATTACAGTAATATTTTTAAGAGCATATGGAATACTCATCAAGGTAGATGTTATTCTAGCTCACAAAAGAAGTCTTTGAAAGTATACAAAGGGTGTGCTTGGACCATAATGGAATTAGACTAGAAATCAATAACAAGCTGGGCATGGTGGTGCACACCTGTAATCCCAGTGGCTTGGGAGGCTGAGGCAGCTTCAGCAACTTATTGAGGTCCTAAAGTAACACAATGAGACCCTGTCTCTAAATAAAATACGAAAAAGGGCTGGGGATGTATCTCTGTGGTTAAGCACCACTGGATTCAATCTTGGTACCAAAAAAAGAAAAAAGAAATCAGTAACAAGTGTATTTGGAAACTCTCCATTTGAAAATTAAACAGCAACATTAACCTATGGTTGAAGGAGGAAATAAATAACAAGGAAGTTAAAAAATTATTGAATTAAATGAAATGAAAGCACAATGTGTCAAAATTAAGGGATGTAGCTATGGAGTGCTTAGAGGGAAATATAGAACCTTAATCCTTATAGTGAAAAAGAATGTTGTGTTCATATTCACATTTTATTTACTCATTCTTCAACTGATGGACATTTGGGTTGTTTCCACTTTTGTGATTTTGCTTAAGAAAATTTTAGAATCTAGTAGGCAGTCCTTTTCATAAATGTTTCATACTGCTTTTATTAAAGGCGTTAGCACATAGAAATAAGATAATGGATGTTAGATGATGATAGGTAGAGATAACTATAATAGATAACACCTTTCCTTTATAGGCACTATTTTTAGTGTCTTACTTATTTTTAACTCATTTAATTCTCACTACTCTATGAGGCAGGTGTTATTGTTATCTCCATGTTATAGATGAGGAAACTGAGCAGAGAAATGAGAACTTGCCCTGTTTTATATGGTAAATGGGATAACTAAGGTCATACCCTGGCCATGTGGCTCTGAAGTCTGCACCACACTGTTCTACCATTTCACAGGAAAGAGTAGGCATAGCCAAATTGTGAGTGAGTTAATGGGAATTTCAGCGAAACTTCATTGAGTTTGCTTACTTTGTTCCCTTCATGGCAGAGTTTATAAATTCTAGCCTGTTCTCTTTTCTATTAAGAGACAGTGGGTTTATCAATTAGTTCTGATTTTATTTAACTGTAGAGTTTAGAACATACCTGATTTTCATTGTACTTGGGGATCTTCTCCTAAATTGAAGCATCTTCAAATTTGATGTTATCTTGTCATTTTCTAGTTTCAAAAAAGAAAAATTGGTGTAAAAAAATAGAATGCATAGATCTTAGTTTGTAAATACCATTCTGCAGTAAAGTAAGTCTTGAATCCTTAGAGAAATGATTCCAAATTTTGGAAAATTCAAGATAAGCCTGGAACATTATTTGGTACCAAGAAGTAAGAATGTCTTTCCCCCCAACAAAGACAAGCCAGAGACACTGGAACCAASTAAAGCTGGGATGTTTGAACAACAACACAAATAATGATGATAATGGATTATATCCATGTGACCTTATTCACTTAATAATTAAAAAACAAATTAGAGAAAGCAGCACTTCCTGCAGTAGAGCTATAATAAGTGTGGAAGAAATGATGGAAATCATTTGCAGTAGGCACTCACAAATAATAATTATTATATGCAAGAGTGACTAATATATGCAAAAGTTAGTGAAAGTATGAGAAATAAGGTATTTGCATAGTCTCAGAATATTTCTCCCTAAGACACTTATTAATTACAGAGGAAAAACTAATAGCTTCATGGCCGAAAATCCTAATAGATACCCCTTAATCAATAATCAGTTAACCAGCTGCAGTAATAAGATATATTGACAATAAGGCACATTGATAGGAATAACACAGCCTTATTCCTGTGTTATTTTTGCCAGAAATGCAGAAATCTCAGTCTAGAGGAAATATCAGACAAAGCCAGATGAAGACCCTTCTACAATATAACTGACCAGTACTCTTTAGAAGTGTTTCAGAAATGAGGGACAAAGACAGACTGGGTACCCTTGGGAGATTTGAAGAGAATATGGAGACATGACTAGGGCAGGGTGGGATCCTGGATTGGTTCCTGGACCAGAAGGGGTGTTCCTGCTAACAATAATACATTTCAAGTGCCTGTCAATTAGTGATATTATGTCAGTATTTATAAGTTTTCAATAGATACACAGTTATTTAAGGTGCTATTATTAAGGAATGTTGGATAAAAGGTATGAAGGGACCTATATACTAACTTTGTAACTTTTTGTTGGTGCAAATTTATTTTAAATAAAAATATTAAAAATGTAAAAAGAAAATGGCCTATGGTGTCTAGGCCTTKGTGGACAATAGTATTTCATATGTTCACAGTGAGTTGTAGTACCTGCCAACATGGTAGGAACAGTGCCTGCTACCGTGGGAATCAGATGAAAATAGAGTTCCCTGCATCATGCAAACAGTTGTYATCAGTTAATGTCTATAATATGTGCAGATGAAAGTTCAATGAGTGTAATAGTATAAAGAACCCCTAATATATATCTGTGGAAATACAGACATCTTAGAGATGTTCTGTGCCCAGGTTGAATTATTTGTAATAGATTATGTTATTTTTGCAATTGGTCACTAGCAACAAAAGCTTCAGGGTGTGGGGCACCCTAATAGATTCACTGGATTTCTGTTTCCCAATCATTTACTTCATATAGKATGTACTGAAATTAAAAAAAAGGAAGGAACTTAGAAAAGAGGGCAAAGGAAAATAAAAAATCTAGTCCAGCACTTTATTTGATGTCTACTTCATTTATAGCTTGTGAATGACTATGCTGGAAAATTAATGGCCCTAGAAGGAAAGAAGGTGGGATGAGGGTTTTCAGTAGGGGGCAGGCAGGTAGGCATGGCAGGTTTTGTGAACTGGAGGTCCAGTGAACCACCTCAGTGCTAAGGACTTTCTTTTTTTTTTTTTTCTCCTCAGGGTATTGAGTCTTGTGATTTTTCCATCACAAGAAGTTTTTTGTTTTGTTTTTGAAAGTAGATGCTAATAGGTGAATCCACTTATTAGAATCTGTCTTTAGGAGGAGAATTAAGAGGCAAAGAACTTTCACTTTGGACATGGTCCAAGTGTGATCTTTTTGGCTTGCAAAAATATATTTCAGAGGGACCATAGGTTTCTGAGGACAAGATGTAGGCTGGACAGTAGCCTTTCTTCTATGTTTCATGGGAGCTGTGAGACAGTGTTTCCATCTCAGTTATCCTCTTAGTCACCAATCCCTTGATTTCAAAAGATTTTGCAAGTGAATTTCTCTCATTTCTCTGCATGTTTCTTACTAACAGTGGGAGAGAAAATGGAGTACATTGAGCTCAGTGCAGATGAGCAGGAATTGAACTGTTTGCCTAAAATGGAGGGAACTGACTTTAGAAATAAAGGAGAGTATTGACTGCCTTTTCTTCCCCAGGAAAGAGAAGGCCTAAGGGAGCARGAGGCTTTATCACATCACCCTTTGCTTTCTGGCCTCTAAAAATAGAGCGCCACTGACGTCGTCTGTGTGTATGCCATTCTATTCCCAGGCCCTTCTGCCGCTTAGTGTCCGGACACTGGAATGTTCTTGTCTGCCTTTGTTTTTATAAGGAAATCTCAGATGTACTCATTCAGGCCTAGAGGTGATAATATTGAAGCCTGGATTTTGATTACAGAGATTCTATGACTTGTAAAAATAAATGATAAAATAACTGCTTTCTTATTGTATGATACAGAATTCCAGAAACTCTGGAGGAGTGTCACTGTGGATTCAATGGATGAGGAGAAAATTGAAGAATATTTGAAGCGACAGGGTATTTCTTCTATGCAGGAATCTGGACCAAAGAAAGTGGTGTGTAATCTCTAGAAAAAAAAATCAATCCTCTGTTCTCTGTTAGTTGCTTCCTGTTCTGCTCTCTGAAAAGCCAGTAGTCAGTCGCCCTTCCAGTTTTTTCTTTGTCTCGTCCAGTGATTTGGTCAGATGTAACCCATATCATGTCTGCAACTGAACTGCCCTTGGGTACTGTTCTCCAGGCTGGGGAGAGCTTCCCATTGCCTTTAGCCTGTTCTAACTATGTCAGCTCTTGAGCTCCAGCCATGCCTCCCTGACTCTGGGGCCTCAGTGTTGCCTACTCTCTGCACACACTTATCCCAGTTTCTACAGGAGCCTGCATCTTCATCTGCTTGGCCTTTAGCACTGTAATTGTGCTTTCTTCCCCTTGCTTTGTGAGCTTTGTAGACTYGTCACTTAGTTCTGCTGTCTCTGATCATGTTGACTTGTCCTTGTTGATTTTCAGGTCCCTTGGGAACCCGATATTATTTTCTTTGTAGTGCCTAAATTCTTCTCATAGGAGGCATTAGTAATCACATAAAACTGGTAAATTGCTGTGTATCAGCTAAGCAAAACCTAGATTCCTGTAGTTCAAGAATGGAGCCAGGTGGGGAGTAATTTACTAACATGTGAGACTCTCCCTCTGTCCTTTGCCATCATCATGCTTTGTGTCTTTTTGGGTGTGTGCAGTGTGTGCCTTAGTGAATTTTTAGGACTCAAAAAGGAAGATTTAATGCCAGTGATTTGTCCACAAATGTGTAATTACAGCCCTTCATGATGACCTATTATTAGTTTATTGATTTTTAATCATGTGTTATTAATATTTTAAATATACAGAATGGAGAATAATAGTACAAATCTTTGTGTCTCTCCATTTCTGTTTTGCTATATCTCAGTATTTACTTCAGGTCCCCCACTTTAAATTGATGATGGTGGATATATTTTTAGACTCAAGTCTAACAGAGACAAAAACCCAAGAGCTTCACTGCCTCTCTTTTGTTTTATCCACTTAGTGCCTAGAATAGTTCTGGTAAGTTATGGGGCCAACCTGTTTATTGCTGATGTAGGTTCACACTTTATGGTAACAGAAAGTACTGAGTCTGGTTGGAGGTTGGCATGTGTGCTGTGGATGGGTGTATGTGARGCTGGGTCACAGAGCAGGGGAAACTCTGCATCCTTTGCTGCAGGTTTCTGAGCTTGCTTATTAAATCCTGACTATCCTAACCACCTGGGAATTACTGTTGTTTCTGTTTTTTCCTTTAGGCTCCTATTCAGAGAAGGAAAAAACCTGCTTCACAGAAAAAACGACGTTTTAAGACTCACAACGAACACTTGGCTGGAGTGCTGAAGGATTACTCTGACATTACTCCTGGCAAATAGGGAACACTTTTGTCTTGAACAAAGAGTTACAAACACACAATCAAGATTTTGTTGTTGTTGTTGATGCTCGGGATCTGAAGACTGGCTGTCTTCCCATTCTGCTTCTTAGGACTGAGGCAAGGAGCAGTTCAGTTTACAGAACAAGTGCAAATTACCAAACTCACAGCTTATTTTAATCAAATAGGCTAATGAGAAATGTGATATTCCCTCTAGACCTTCTGTTCCTTCTTGGGAGAAAGGCACTTAGCACGATATGCAGGTGTCTTTGCTATTTGTCTCTACTTCTAGATGGTTCCTGGTTCCATTTTTTTCTCTTTTATTACCTTAGAGCAAGTTGGCAGATAGTCTTGAATGCAATATTTGTTTATTCCAAAAGAACATATTTATAATAAAATCATTGTAGAAGGATTTTGAAGAAGTTAATGAATTCCGTTTGTTTCTTTTCATTCTTCGAAATGGCAGCAACCAGCTCCAGTCCTGGACTTGCTCAGGGTGTGTGCTTGGGATGTTATGGAGACTGGAGTCTACTCTGGTACTGAGCATGTGGATTCCCAGTTGGAACAAGACATGCCTCTCATTAGCAAGTAATGCAATAAAAAATACACTAGATGTAATTGTTAATGTTATCTTTTAAAAGGACAAATTGGTGTTATAGCCTGTTGGATTTAGAAAATAATGCTCTGGTATGGTCTTGAACAAGGAGTCATCTTGCCAACCTGAACATTAGCTTTACCATGTCTCACCCCTAACATGACTTGGCCTGAGGTTCATCTGGTTGAGACTCCCACTTTCCCCCTGTCACTGGCCTGGCTCATGAGAGCCTTTATCAAGTATGTGTGGGTTTTTTTCATAATGGGAAGTTGCTGTGGTCCTTCCTGCCTTCTKTAGCAAAGTTCCCATTTTCCCTATTGATGCTTTTTTAAAAAAATATTTTTTAGTTATAGTTGGACACAATACCTTTATTTTATTTATTTATTTTTATGTAGTGTTGAGGATTGAACCCAGGGCCTCACCCGTGCTAGGCAAGAGCTCTACTGCTGAGCCACAACCCCAGCCCCTTATTGCTGCTTTTTATATGGACTACTGTGGTCCTTTGTGTTAGTGGCTTCATATCACAGGTTGAAATTGTATTGGATTATAAAAGTGAGGTCTGGTGTTCCTAAAAAATGATGGTACCCAAAGCAGTGAGTCCTTTGATTAGATGACAGAAGGCATTTTGCTTTTTWAATTTATATTCTATATGTGAACTTCCTACCCATTTAGTGCTCTCTGTTTGCTTTATGTCTTTCTAAATTCCAAGCTCTAAAACATGAGATATGAAACTGAGACTCCCCTTGATAATTTGGAATACAGGAAATTCAACCTGTTTTGCTTTGTAAATAAGGAACTTTAATGACTTACAGCATAAAACTAGTTTCATTGTAAATGTAGAATTAGCTTATCTCCAAATGCTGGCTTTTGTGGTCTGTATACCCCATCCTATTTTATGGGCGATGCCTTTTGGATATTTCAAATACTTCATCTTATTCTGCAAGGAGATAGACCTTCATCACAGATTCTAAAACAATATGCTTTACAGCTCGTTGTGTATTGTTAATAATTTCTAGCTAAGCCTGTGCTCATCAATACTTCATGGACTGGCCTGATAATTGATTGTTGTCTAAAACTTATTTCAGAAATGAGGAAGTTTAGATCTAGAGAAGTGTATTGCCAAGTCGATAACATGTGTGAACTATAGCTTTGTTTCATTCACTTGCATTTTATTTTGCTGATAAGCCTTGATCCTCTTTGCCTATGACATGCAATTCCTGCATGGTGAAGTACTGAGATTGTATCACTGAATGATGTGGGGAGGATATTGTTTTTGTGGAAAATTTGAGAGGATCCTAGTTATGTTTATGATCATAATTAAAGAAGTAAGTTTTTTTTAGCAGTTTTTTTGGGTGTCTAAAAAATATTCTCCAGAAATTCCAAGCTAAAAGTTGTGTTCCCACTTCTGCCTGTTTCTGTTGGATCTGCTGCCATTCAGAAGCAAGTGGGGATGGGCATGGCTGAGTGAGTTAAAAGGGTAAGTCAGGCTGTAGTGCATTTAATTTATAATTCATCAGTCACGTGAGGCTTTTAGGGGATAGCTAAGAGAARTGTAGTTGAGCCTGGACACAGTATAAAAATGAACATTTGGCCACTGCTGTCATAGCCGGTGAGTRTGGCTAGATGATGGTGGGACTCCAGGGACAGAAGAGCACTTTATACCTGTTGAGCAGAGAATTAGGAAAAATGCAGTGCAGAGACATCCGATTACTTCCAATCCCAGTGTTCATAGGGAAGGAATGCAAATGTACAGCCTTGGATTTTTCATATGAGCTGTTTGAAATCACTGGCAGCAAAAACATGTTATGAATGTAGTTGGTTATGTAGGACTAGAGTATTTGTATTTATCAATTACCCAGTTCCCCTCAGCTAATGGCTTAAAAGATGAAACTCAGTCCCCCCTTTCTTCTAGCCACTATTTTACTTTCAGCTGATTTGTGGGAAGATATGGGGTTTTCTGAGGTTTCACTGTTAGCAAGCTGAGGCAAGTATCGTGCCTTCTGTAGCAATGACCTGTTATCACTCACATTGCTGTCCTTGGAATTAATTTCCCAGTGTGTACTGAGAGAAGAGTAGGTGGGAGTTAGAAGCTCTGGGAACCTCTTGAAAGCCATTTCTCTAACTTTGGAACACTTGTCACCAGGCTGTTTTGTGACTGTTGGGGGAAGCATAGTTTAGAAAAGTGGATTTAGAGTAAGCCCTGGCATTATGCTATTGGCTTTCCTCTTAAGATGAAACTGGAGTTTTGAGTGAGACTTCATTCCCTACTTGGCCACTTTCCTCTTGGTTCTTGCCTGCAAGTTCTGAAGAATAAAATCTACAGACAATAATGGAAGGGAAGAGTAAACAGAGTAGGATTTATTTAAGCAAGAAAAGATAGAAGTCCCGCCTTGTGGAACGAGGCCTGATAGCAGAAAACCTCATTTTGGTGTGCCACCTTAGGAGTTTATRTGTAGTTTGGGCAGAGCATGGAGCAAAATAAATGTAAAATATGCAAAAAGAATCAAGGCTATAGCCTTATCATCTGGGTTCACCCCCACCTTCTGTTTTTCCGCTTTAAAGAACAAAAGCACATTTTCCTTCATAAAAGGATTTCCATTAGAAAAAATGAACATGTTCAACTTACCTGAACATGTTCAACCTTGTTCAGTCTCAGAAGCTAAGTGGGTTTGGCCCTGGTTAGTTCCTCCATGGGAGAAATAAAGATTGAGGAGGCTGCTATCTTAGGCCCCWGTAGAAGTTTGGGGCTGTAGTATTAATCCAGCTCATCTGATTTGGGCCAGCACCTTGTGAGCATGTTGTGGTTTGAAGATCTGGTGAAATCTTACTTTTCAACCAGCCAGAACTTTGCAGGGTTCATACGCCACAGGGCATTCAGTGCAAAGCCTTGTGCATTTATAAGAATACACAGCCTGAATCTGGCAGAACTAGCTCCAGAAGCACTTTTATCTTATACCAGTTTTATCTTGACTCTTATTATTAATGTCACTACCACTAGGATGTCCTGCATCATTGGTAGACAGAGCTTTATTTATTTATTTATTTTTTTTATTTATTTATTTTTTTTTTTAGTTCTCGTCGTTGCACAACATCTTCTTTGGTATACGGTGCTGAGGATCGAACCCGGGCCGCACGCATGCCAGGTGAGCGCACTACCGCTGAGCCACATCCCCAGCCCCTAGACAGAGCTTTAAAAAAACATTTTCCTGCAAGTGTGGTGGCACATGCCTGAAATCCCAGCTGCTTAGAGGCTGAGGTAGGATTAAGTTTGAGGCCCTGTCTAAAATAATGGGGTGTGGGGAGGCGCTGGGTAAGGCACTTCTGTGTTCAATCCCCAGTGCTGCGAAAACAACCCTCCCCCCTAACTTGGAGACCTTAATCAAATTGACTACTTATATTTGGTTTAGCATTACAATGATACTTTTAGTAGAGGCATTCTGAGGGTACTTCAGAAAATAGGGCACTAATAATAAACATTCTTTAGCCTAAGAATGTTGTAAAATTTGTTTTGTTAGGTGTGACATAATGGTTTTAAAGTAGAACAGTAAGAGAGCAACCATGTGCTGATATTTAAACTACTCTGGAAGAGTGGGCTTTTCACCATAGTTGAATGTTGCAGTGGTGTGGAAGCAGGAGGAAATCTGTCCACATTGTTAGCCCTGATCATCCCTTGTCCAGATTCCTCAGAAGTAACTTTGATATGGACACCAAGGATTGTGTATTAAGATACAGAATCCAGGACCTCAGCCATGCCTTTATCATTCTTAAGAATGTTCCTTAGGGGGGCTGGGGTTGTAGCTCAGTGGTAGAGCATTTGCCTAGTGCATGTGAGGCCCTTGGTTCGATCCTCAGCACCACATTAAAAATAAATAAGTAAAATAAAGTTATTGTATCCAACTACAACTAAAAAATAAGTATTTAAAAAAAATGTTCCCTAGGCCACACAACTCAGGATTCAGGGATGCCATAGAGTTTGAGATGGGGTAGTAATTATTGCAAGTTAGCCCATGAAAGTGGGGTTGACATTACGCAAGCACTAGGTCCAGTAAAGCTGGAGCCTAAATGTGATTAACTGGAGGAGTTTTCATTTGCAAATTGTAAAGTTCTTTCCAAATTCCCTTAATTCATAATTTTGTTACAGAAGTGGAAGGAGTGTTATTTCAGATGCYAGTTGATAAAATTAGTTCAATTAGTCTTGTATTCACAAGGGAAAGTACATTTGGTAATGAAATAAAGTGATGGCTAAGTTAATCTATCTACAGAGGCTACAAATTTGGGACATTGAGTAAGGGAGCAAGAGCTAATAGACATGCCTTTTTTATTCCATGTTCCTGGTTCTAAAAGACAATGCATTCATTCATTATCAGTAGAGTGACAGAAAAGACAAATTTTCAGAGACTGTAATGAAGTTGGTACTCAAATGCTTGGTCAGSACTGTAATTTGCACAGAACTGGTAAATACCATCCACCCTTGTCACTTGCACATCATGACCAYCAGGCACTCATCCATCCCAGGTCCTCTTCTGAGAAATCATCTGGGAAGTGACTGTGTTCAGTAATGGCTATTGGGATAGTGTAGCCCACAGCTGTAAAACTGGCTACCCTCAATTCCTGGGCCATATGGCAATCTCTGGCGCTTTTGAGTTGGAGGCTGACGGATGGGCTAAAGGCAAAGGCACATGATCAAGCCTGCCCGGGATAGGCGTGGAGCCGAGTGTGGCTGTGGAAAGCTTCCTGTCCTTTTTCTGCAGTTATCCATGAGTTCAAGGGACCGGAAGGTGGCAGTGATAGCCTGTGTTTGGTGGATAGTCGCCTCTGGAAAAGGATATGAGATCCAAAACACAGAACCAAAAAACATCAGTGTTCAAGTCAAGGATTACAGTAGCTGTTGTTGCCATTGTTTGGAATTAGGCATTATTAAGAATGGTGAGGGGCTGGGGATGTGGCTCAAGCGGTAGCGCGCTCTCCTGGCATGTGTGCGGCCTGGGTTCGACCCTCAGCACCACATACCAACAAGGATGTTGTGTCTGCCAAAAACTAATAAATAAATATTAAAATTCTCTCTAAAAAAAAAAAAAGAAAAAAAGAATGGTGAGTGAGCGCATGTATGAAACTCCATCAGTCATCTTGGCTAAGTCAGCATAAAGCCATCAGTGACACCTGAAGAGAATTCGAATGATCTTGAGCCTTAGCTTTGTAGCCTGAGGTGGATRTCTGTTGAACTCAGTGAAAGGCATCTCGGAAAAGTTGTGAATCTACCTTGGGCTCCTTTATGGCTTATGGCAGTAGTGACAGTGACCCAAGTGGTGCATCTGTGGAGGCTGTCCCCTGGTTCTCCCATTCCTACCTGTTTCCTCCTGTAATCTTTCCATTCTAGTGCTTAGCTGGTCCCAAAGCCTGAAACAGAAAAGAAATTTCTGGTCCCTAGGCTGCAGTGTGTGGGACACATTTGGCTGATCTTGAAAAAAAGAATTTGTCAAGCAATGGTGTGATAGCTGGAATAAGCACTTTATTTTTTAAAAATAACAATAGAAAAGTACCTTTAAACAAACAGTTTAAAAAAGCATAATAGTGAAGTGGCTCTGTTTTCCTTAAAATCAAATACAGGAGTCTCACCAAGAGCTAAGTGGTGCTGAGGGCGTAGACCCTCCCTAAACACCCAAGCAGATCTATCAGGAGCCTCTAGGCTACTGCCTGCCCTCTTTCTTCTTTTTGTTGGTAAGAAAGAGCCCCTCACTCCTGGCTTTGCTTTGTTGTGATAACCATTAAAAATGTTATTTTTATTTCTAATGAAAAATAATACAACAAACAAAACCCCCAAATCAAGCATATAATCATTAAAATATTGAATTTTTCAACACAGTGAGCAGATCAGTAGGAAAGACTGTGATCATTTCTAGCTATATTAGCAGTTAGAAACTCTTAGGTCAATATAGTTTTACACATGGCTTTTATACAAGGAGGAGGGGGAGAGGCTGAGCTGTCACAGATTCTGGAATGTGTCACCTGAAAACACAAAGACTGTTTAGCTTTTGACCATTTTGAAACAAGCCCAACTGTCTTTCTCTTGGCCATTGGTTACCGTGGTTCCCCCTGTGCCAGAGAAGTCGGGAACCTCACAACAAGCAACCTGGGATTCCAGAACCTGTGACAGGCGGTCTGTTTGAACACTAGCTTAGTTCAGCCAAAGTTGGGTAAAATCACTTGGCAGATGTGGGTTTGCCCATTGTAGTTGGGCAAAGCCAGCCCCGAAGCCAAGGTGCTCCTTCMCCATGAGGGCTACTACAGTCCCACAGGAGCAGTGGCATGGCTGTGGAAGTGAGTGATACAGCAAGTTAGTCACACAGGGGAGCATGCTCTCATAAAAGATAAACATGAAACTTGAAACACACAGTTCATACAGTCACAGATGGAGCTGCCAGATCTTTCTAAGGGCACACTCTAGTCTAAAGAATTTCTCCCCTAGTTTTCTTTGCCCAGTTGTGAATATGCCATAAAAGTAGCTCCTGGAAGCTTTGATTGTCTTGTAGGGATATCATATGGGAACTGGGATCACAGACCAGGGCTGAAGAGAACAGTTCTAACACCACATTACTAATGAACCCTGGACTTCAGCCAGGCAGACAGTATCTATACATTCACAATACAATTCTGGAAATGTTGGTAACTATTTCGAAACATGCCTCAAACATGCAGCTTATTTTAAAGAAAAAAATAGATATTTTTAATTACAAGCATTCGATAAGTCTAGGATAAAATTTGTGATCCAACCCAGTGTAAGAATCCATCCTGTCAGAATTAAAATGTTTGGTATAAAAATACTCACTTTCTTAGTTTTATTGTTGACTTCTTTTATGTTTCATTTGAAAATATCTCCAAACTGTACAGAAATTACGTCACACCATGCATTCACAAATAACACTATTTCTTAGAATTATACAGTGTAAAAGAGTAAAACATTTTTTATTATATATTTTTTTTCTTCGAGAAAAACAGATGTGTGATAGAGGCTGTGGCAAAGTCTTGAAGGGATCAAAACTGGGCAAGGTTTTTTTCAAGCCTGAAACAGAAAGAAAACATGTTGGCAGAGTAGACCTCAAAACCATGTACAGTACTTTTTTCCTAATGCCATGGCTGAGAAACCCATGGAGAAATTCAAGAGTGATTCCTTATGAGTGTGTAGATAAACAGTCTCTCCCAATAAAGACCATAAACAAGAGGATCCACGGTCACACCACAGTGAGATATAGGGCTAACATTTAATTTCCACTTATCGTTACTTAYATAATAAAAACTTTTATTAAAGGTCCCCTTTCCTAAAGTTGCAAAGAACTACCTTTCTCTTTGCCTTGTGGCAAAAACAAGGGCCTTCAAATAGTCATTGAAGTCCTTGACTCCTACCTATCTGGCACTGGTCCTGGACGTTTTCTCTTTGTGTTGTGAGGATTGATTCCAGGGCCTTGTGTGTGCCAGATAAGCACTCTGGTCCTAAATGCATCTCAGATCTATTGTGTTTTGGTTTACCTAATTTGCCTGTACAATTGCTAAGGTGTGATATCACACTTGCAGTCTGAACTACTTGGAAGGCTAAGGCAGGARGCTCACAAGTTTGAGGTCAGTCTGGGCAACTTAATGAGACCCCATCTCAAAAAGGACTACTAGGGTTGTAGATGAGAGGTAGAGTGCTTGCCTAGCATTAGGTATGAGGCCCTATGGGTGATCCTCAATACCCTCTCAATACCYGCCCCCTGCCACCAAAAACTCCAAACCCTCTATTTTTCCTTTCCTTCTCCAACTCCTAATGCCTTTGTTTCTTGCCAACATGTCATACTCACTTGTATTTGTAGAAAAGGTATTCGCAAAAGCAAATAAGTATATACTAGACATTTGTACAGGGAAATGTTTATGTGAGAGAAAAGGCTATGAAGAAAACATCATTATTGATAACAACCACTTAATTGTTCCAAGGTAGAAATTACTTGGGGAACTGAGTACTTAGTAAATCCTGAACTCAGAATATTTAGGTGAACATTCAAACATGGAGAACTGAATACTTTTGTAACACTTCTCCATAAACCACCACTGTATAGKGCTGCATCTGGACCTGAACTTTGACACACAAAATACCTTTCCATATCCTAGTTTTTAGATGACATACAAATGGGTAGAAATAATGGCTTCCAAGTCTTAAGGCCCAATATAATACCATGCATCCATGGATCATGGGAAATCCCTAGGGAGAAAGCAGGACAAGGTTTTCTAGAATGGGAATCTGGATATCCTGAACCTTAACTGCGGTGTTACTATGCTACTACCTATCTACCTATTCAGGTTGTTGCAAAAAGTGAATTAATCCTAGCAGGCCMAAACTAGAGAGCTGTAATGTGCTCAAGTGATCCTGGCCCATTTCCACCTTTACAGCCTCAGATTTCTCTGAGCCACAAAAAGGTTCTACTAGGAGCGAACAAGGAAGTAAACTGCTTCAGGAAAATCTCATTTTCTGATTCCTTTGCCTCCCCATGGTACCCAGCACAGAAATGAGGAGTCAACTACCACTTATCATACGCTCTGTAATGAAGAAATCACCCTGGGCGGGGTGTGTACACCCTGTCTTTGGTGCATGCCATATACCTGTGACACTCAGCAGGGCCAATAATAGGTCCCCTGCTGGTAACTGTCTTTTGTCTGCTACATCCTGATTTCTACCTGGAAGCAGATGGGGGCACAAAACCCCACAATCTGAGAATATGTTGKATGAAGCAGCCCAGGGTTGGGACTTGGAGTTGCAGGGGGCTTATGGTGGGGCCAGACATTGTTTAGGGGGCTGTAGCAACTGAAGTTCCCTTGTGAATCCACACTTACTAAGCCTGGTTTGCTGCCCTTGGACTCCCCTCAAGTGCACTGATTACAGTGTGACGTGGTACCAACTCCTCACATTCTACTCCCAGGGAGTGTATGTCATAGTGGAGTGAAACTAGCTTACTAAAGAAATAGACAAGGGCAGTTTTCTTCTTCTGCAAGTTCCATCTCATTCTAAACTTGACCACATGCAAGCAGCCAAAGGAAGGTTTATGTGTGGATTCCTAGAAACCTTTCCTGAAGAACACTCTACAGTGGTTCTTACTTTGGGATAATTCACATGGGACAATTATCTAGCAGCCCCTGTGCTCTGAGAAGGAAGGGGCTACTGCTGCCTCTCTGGGCTTGGAGTGGAAAAGCAGCTGGCCTAGCTGTGGCGACGTGGCCTGTAACCAAAGCTGTCATGTTGCTTTCAGGGACTACAAAAGGAAGAAATGGAATGGGCAGGCAAAGGAAGTGGACCATATGAGTTTCCCTTCCTAAGCTGGCCCTGTGCAGTCTCTCACACTAAGTCCACATGATCATCTGTTCCTTTCCAATATCGCCATCACTACTTTGGGTGTACCTCTTTGTATATGGACTGTTACTGTGCATCTCCAACCGCTTTGCAATGGGTAGGCAGCAAAGTAATGATGATTCCCCCTTTTCCAAGCCCTGCTCAAGTGTCCTCAGTGACTCCCCAAGTCTCATATCCCTAATACATCCTTCAAGGCCCTCAAAAGCTCTGTCCCAGGCTCTGTACTTTCTCTTTTCTGTCCTGCTCCCTGTCCGCCCATGTTATACATTCTCCTATCTTTTACAACTCACCTTTCCTGATCCTTTCAGCCTCCAGGGCTTCTTCCTACAAGCAGGAATTCTCCCTGTCCAGGCCATTGTGGCTTTCACGGGGATTATCTTGGATAATCCTTCCAAAAATTATCTACTCCCTTCTCAACTCCACATATAGTCATTTACATATAGCAAAAACACAACCCTGTAATTTGAACATTGGGAATCCAGAGCAGATGAAATAGGAGCGATAGGCCACGATGGGATATGGCACTAGACTTGGGTCTGAGTCTTGACAACGCCAGGAGACTACCCAGGGGGCCCATCTCAGTTGTGCACACCAGCCCTGAGCACCTCAATGAGCAGTGCCTTCTATAGGAAGCTGATACCGCTGGGGGGAGGAGAAGGCATTTCCAATTTTTCTGGGCAATAAAGCAAACCGGTCCTGACTACAATTCTGTATACATCTGCCTGAACAGGAAGATAGGTAAATTTCTGGTTAATACTGGCTGATTACAGAAGCTGATCTTCTGAAGTGGGGGGAGGGAGACCATGGAAGGAAGGAAAGAAGAAAGGAACAAGTTCTGAGCCTTCCAGAACTGTGCCATACAGATGTAATTCTCACATGGGAAAAGAATGTATCCACATTGCCATCAATGTTCCCAGACTGAACAGAAGGTCAAAGTGTGGCTATTTCAGTCCCTGTAAACAAGGAAGAGGTTTAGCTAGGAACGGAGTTCAGACCTTGGAATGTATTAACAAGGACATTTTAAACAGAATCTAAAGACATCCGGGAACATGAAGCACCACAGAGGGACAGTGAGCCAGGGAGAGGGTCAGGATGAGGGGGGTGTCTTTTCACAGCACCTTTCCTGGGAAGAGATCAACTGTGACATGCAAGCATAGGACCTAGGGATGTGTAGAAAATCTTAGTCTGAGGTACACAGAATTTGAAGACAATGGAGAATGGTGCCTTAAAAGATATGGGTGTGGGGTCAGGATGCTTGCTGACTGACAGAGCAGGGGACACTTAACTGTAACTAAGTCAAAACCTGTTTGTCCAGGTGTACTGTGAGCTTTTTCTTCCAGTGCTAAGATTTAACTCTCCTTCCATGCTTCCCTTGTACATGTACTGTTTGACCTAATCACTTGTGATTTCTTTCCCAAAAGTTTAACCCTCTAATAATCATTTTTACCAAAAGTCAGATAAGGAATATTTCCCTCCACCCAACTCCAAATAAACATGGGACATCATATACAAATGTTAATAATAAGAATGTTTTAAAAAAWTTTTTTTAGTTATACCTGGACACAATATCTTTATTTTGTTTGTTTATTTTTTATGTGGTGCTGAGGATCAAATCCAGTGCTTCACATGTGTGAGGCAAGTGCTTTGCCACTGAGCCACAACCCCAGCCCTAAGAGTGTTTTTTATATCTGTCAGCTTGACTTCTTAAAATCRAGCACTGATTCTAATACACAATATAAAACAAATTAGCATTTAAAAAATTTAAATGCAAAGTTCATGATCTATGGAATCTCTAGAGGAACAGTCTTCTGTAATCAGTAACTGTTCCACCAGTCTCATATCACTCTTCTCAGCCCACAATAACAAGTATGTGCAGGCTGGCTAGCTACATCTGTGCATGGTTCCAACTCCATTGGCTGGAGAAGGCCCAGCTCCAGATGGAGATTCTAACTTCTCAGCCAGGTCCTTTCTACCCTACAAAGGTCGATCACATAAGCAATGTAGTCCRACTTCAAATTTGGAAAGAGAAATAGCTTCTTCCAAACTCCCTTCTGTAACCTGAGGATGGCTCCAGAAACTGGTGAACCACACGCTGAGCTAACACGTCATCAGTGCTGAAACACCCCCTCCTCCCCACCTGCTTCCACAACAGCTGTCAGCTCCTCATCTTTGCCAGCACTTCTGGGGCATCTTCCCACCAAGTCATAGTCCCCGTTTCCAAATTTTTCTGCGCTGCTCCCCCCACCTCCCAGCTTGCATTACTAGATCCTTGCATTGCCGTGAATTCATCAAATGCTGCTGCTGCTGCTGCTGCTGCTGCCTTGCCTGGGCTCACGGGTATATGCCTTTTTTTTTTTTTTTTTAAAGAGGGTGAGAGAGGAGAGAGAGAGAGAGAGAGAGAGAGAGAGAGAGAGAATTTTTAATATTTATTTATTTTTTTTTAGTTCTCGGTGGACACAACATCTTTGTTGGTATGTGGTGCTGAGGATCGAACCCGGGCCACACGCATGCCAGGCGAGCGCGCTACCGCTTSAGCCACATCCCCAGCCCGGGTATATGCCTTTTAATGACTGATGTTTTAGTTGCTTTACTGCCTTAAAAAAAAAAAAAAATCACATGTAACTTGCTTCCAAAAAATTGCATGGGTAGCTTTTAATTGGTCTTTAAATTTATCTAGAGAAGGGGGGGGGGCGGATAAAACAAAACTAAGGCTTTTTAAAAAGTTTGAGTGATAATACCAACAAGAATTACATGAGCATTACTACTAAGAACCACAACAAAAGGAAAATCTAACAAAGCAGAAGACCACAGATTAGCAGGATAAATACCAGCTGCCCAATGAGTTGTGGAAAAATGTTGCCTGTTGGTAAGTTGAAGTCAGTGAAGATACACTTCAGTAGGAAAGATACTTGAAGTGCAGGTAGCTCACTTCCTGTCCAGAAAGCTGCCCAAGTGCAGGCAGGTGGAAGGTGGGCTGTGCACACCAGAAGCCTGCACTTCTGGTCAAGCACTGAGAGGGGCTGTTCTCTGAGTGTGAAGTTACTCAGGTCCTCAAAATGTGGTGATGACCTCTGTGGGCAGCACTACCTGGTCCTTTGTCCTTAGCAGGAATCTTGCCTCCTTTCTGATCCATCATGGGAATGAAATCTGCCACCTTATTTTGGCTGAGACATAAATTGCTGTCTCCCAGCCCCTGACATTCCTGTGGTTCTAAGCCAAGCTTTCCAAAGACACCAGAAGTCTCCATATGTGGTACCTGGCAGGCAGGATACTTCTGAGAATGTACATTATTATTATTTTTTAAGACTAGTGACTGAGAAGTGACAGCTAACACTGGCAAGAAGACGAATGGCCAAAATCATCACTAACTAGAAAAACTAAGTGGTATAGAGGGATTCCTGGAGAATCTTGCAGACTTAATTCAGTCATACCAGTCAAGTGATTATCCCTTTCAGAAGAGGCTCATAAAAATGTCCCCGAGTCAAGAAAATGCTGAATTATACTTAATGTAATTGGACTGATAAAGTAGGGGAGCATACACACTACATCTAAAACAGATTTCCAACAACATGCTGAATTTCCGAAAAAGGCTTAGATGCTGGTGGAATACTCTCAGTCTAGGTTGCTACTGGATAACCACATGTTAGTATCAGCCTTACCTAAGAAGGCCATGATGCACTATGAAAATGGCTGGTGGCTATCCTGAATAACTTTTCCTAAGCAGGTTGGGCTGGACAAAACAGTGCAGAGCACTGAACCATCTGGAGAGATGAGCACCCAGACTGGAGGCCCTACCCCAGAGTCTGGGGTTCTCAGGCAATGCTGGGGCCTGTCCTGACCATACTGGTTGACACTGGCCTTTGGAACTCACCAGCAAGCTCCAGTTTTGCACAACAGCTGGAGTACAGTCGCCACCAGTGAAGATCGCATTAATACCCACAAGACAGATTGCAGCCGCCATCACACACCTGGGACCTGGATGAACAAAGAGATGACCCATTAACCACGTACAGCAAACCCTTACCATGGGACTCTTGCTGGTGGGCCCTGGGCCTTGATGACCAGTCTATGACTGAGAAAGCCCAAGACCAAGAGATCAAAGGTCTCTGATGCTGAGCTGATGACAAACTGCCACTAAAGAATGACATCAAAGGCATGAAAAGCTCACAGCGAAGAAAGTGAACTGGGGCTTGGTGAACAATGAGGGTGCTCTGAGGGAAGTGTGCTGAGTTTTTCTGCTTCACCAAGGGCAGAGCTGCAGCACTCAGAGGCCACAAAGTCCAGCCTTTGGTGACTCTACAGATATGGTCACATGGTTAGATCCCACGGACTGTGCACTAGACCCCAGGTGCCACTCTGGAGCCTGGCCAAGCAAAGGCATGGGCTCTAAGGCCCTGGATAACCACCTCTAGGACCTGCTTAGAACAAACAGCTTCGGGCAGCCCAAGGCCATGGAGAGCTCTGCACATTAAATTTTGCTCTAAGCAACATCTAGAAAACAAAATCAAAACGAAACACGTCTGTGAACATATCCTGTGATGCCCGAGGGTCTSAGCATTTTGAAATATGAAGGTGCAGAGACACAGCAAATCATATATTTTTAATACTCTTGAAGGCTTGGGTATCTCTGGGCCAGTTGGTTTCCACAAAATCCCCAGTGCTTCTGGGTGTGGGGGCAACTTGGAAGGCTAAGGCAAAATGATGGCAAGTTCAAAGACAGCCTAGGCAACTTAGTGAGCCACTCAGCACTTTAGAAAGACCCTATCTCAGAATAAAAAAGGGCCAGGAATGTGGGTCAGTGGTAAAGCATCCCTGAGTTCAATCCCCAAAACAAGAGGGGGAAAAAAAATACTGTTGCAAAGGAAAGGACCCTCCATGCATGCGGACACCAATGGCTCTTTTTCCCAACATTGTTTGGATTTTCCATCCCASTGGATGCTCTTTTCCTTTATAAAGTCAGAGTCTTGTTGTACTGTGGCAAACCATCTGAGCTCTTCACAATATGTCACAGGCTCAGTTGGCACAGGAAGCCCTTCCAAGGGAGGTCCCTAGCCCCTCCAGGGCCCAGTGGGGAGACAGCCTGTGCACCCTTTGCTAAAACCTACTAAAATTAGGGGTAAACCTGAAGGAAAGATTGCCTTTGTAGAACATTTGTCTTCTCTGAATTAAGGGGGAAAATGTTCACCCCAGAATTTTACTATAAAGACATGAAATGATGAGTAGGTGTAATTCTAATTTTCTAGTAAAAGGTTATTTGAGTACAGGAAATAAATATGAATCCTTGCAAATGAAACCAATTGGCTCACCCAACTCCCTCCTGCCCTTGCAACACTCCCACAGCACCAGAGGGTCAGGGGGCATGCTGCGAACAACAGGCCCAGGGTGCCTCCCTGGAGTGCCCGATCCTTAGCTACATTTTTAGGATGCCTGTCACTGAAGAGGTCATACTGATGGTCAGATTCCTCTTGGCTTAAGCTAATCAGGATGACTCCCCAACTCACCCCCTGTTCCTAGAAGCATGGGGGCATCAATGAGCTGCTCTTTGTAGTTACATCAACAACAGTTGTGCACACTGGGGTTCCACTGGTGGGCAAAGAGCATGCATGAGCTGGAGTCATTCCAGAGACTTAAGAAGATTGCTCCTTAAGAAAATGGAATCCCAAACATGTTCACTGCTCACTTTATGCTGAGTACACACATCTTCTTAATTTCCTTGTAAAAAAATGAGTAGAAGAGAGGCTGGAACTGGATAATTGAGACAAGGGCTCCTCTGATGACCCTGGTTTGAGCTGTGAACCACTGAGACTCAGTGTCCTAGGCTCACACATGGCCACCCTCTTTGAACTAATGGGTAGCAGCCGCCAGCCAGCTTCAGAGAAACAGGTAAGGGGAAAAGTTAGCAGCTTGTACTCAGGGCTGTCCTAAGAAAGTTCTCTGGGGGAAGGGCTGCCATGGGCCTACCAACTGCCTCTTCCAGGGGGTCTCTGAAGTCTCCCCTGAACCAAGCTGGCTGCATGTCAAGCTCATGCACATACTTTTATTTAGCAAAGAGTAGCAAGAGGAACAGGATCAGAGGAGTTACATTATTCTCCAAACTTGGGAAGGTAAGGCCTGTTTTGAAAAAGCAGCCCCTTATCAAACTGGGAAAGTGCCAGGTCTCTAGAGTGCTGTTCTCAGGACGACCCTGCTAACTCTGCCACCAGGATAAAACAAGGGCCTGTCAACCCCACAGCAGTTGGCTTCCTGCCTGACTTCCCTCTTTCCCATAACACTTACGACCTGTCCTACTGTGTTTATTATTCTATTGCCCATCTCCTCCCCATTACATTGTAGCTGTCCCCTGAATATTTATTATATTAAGGCTTTTAAAAGTGATATGGAGACCTTCACTGATAGAAGGGGAATGGCTGATTGGTCACAAGAACTGCTCTGGTTTCTGGCCACACTGCAGTATGAAAGCACAGCACATGCATCTCTTCTAAGGGAGAGGGCATAGGTGATTGCAGGATCCACAAAAACTGTCTGGGCCTGCAAGCTGCCTTTCCCTCCCGTAAACCACCTCCATGTCCAGCCCTCTGTGCTCAAGGCTCTCATGCTCACATCTAAAGACAGGCTAAGCTATTCTTCCTATAACAAAATATAAGGAATAAACTGCTTTGAATTCCAGTCACAGTGCTCTCTCTCACCATTTCCTTCTCTAATTTGGTGAAGATGTAACAACATGTGCTTATAATTTCTATGCTGTGGTCCTGGTCCATGGCCAGGATCATGAGTTCTTAAGAATAGTGTCCCACACCCCTCCAACTCCCAAACTCTTTTATTTTTTAAAAAATATTTCACTGCATTTGGATATCTAACAAGGAATGCTGTGATCTCTCATGATCTGCAAGGAGTGACAAAAAACTTGTTTATGTTTTCCTGTTCACAATGCATTGGGAAATTCATAAATTTCAATCATTATTATGTATTCTGAGGTTCTCTGCCACATAGCTGGACCAAACAGTTACCAAGACTCTAGTGAGGGGTGGGGGATACAGTGTGTAGGCAGACTAAACACTACTTGTCAGGCCAGATTCTGATCAAACAACATGAGGCCACCGAGCCCTCTGACACCCCTCTTTAGACAGCCTTCCTTCTGTCAGTGACAAGTGACGTACCTCCCCACATGCTTATCTTGAAGCATCCTAAGTAATCTCTCTTGTCTTTAATGTGCCCACAGTTCTCCCCCACTAAAACTTGAGCTCCTTAGGGGCATAGGTCTACTGTTACACATTTTTATATCTAGTGCATAGCAGACATAGCCCATGTTTATTTAAAGAATAGAGTTCAGTTTATATTTCTAGTCTAGTCACTGATTTCTCTTTAGCACAAAGGAATCAAAGTGGATAAATTAAAAATCCTCAAAGGACCTCTGGGAGAGCAAGATTTGGAAGATGGCATCTAATGCTCCATCCCATCAGAAGTGCCCGCCAATCTACATGTAGGCTGTTTGATACCAGGCATGGCTCTTACCCTCATTATCTGTTCTGGTAACACTTTCTACACAGAGAAAACAACAAGTGGGGGGAGCAAACCCTCTTTATAAAATTGAGGAGACAGTGATGTTACTGTGTGTGCTTTTCATTTGAGTTTTCTGACAGACTCATTTTGGTCTAACATATTTATATTAGCTCATCAACAACATAGTTTCGAATTCTAATTTACATTTCCTTAGGGTTACGTAGCCTGGATTATTAGCTGTTTTTGAAAMGACCTGATCCAAGAGACTAGAAGGAGTTGGAATACTGGATCCAGGCTGAGCTGGTCTAACTCTGGATGCAGCAGCAATAAGCACTATTGTCCATGATCTTTCTTATCTCCCCTCCCCAACACCRTCCACATCCTGGGGAAGGAGTCTGGCCCACCATCCACATTTAGCTCTGAACAAATGACTCATCCTCAAGTGAGTTTGCATATTCGGATTCAGATCTTACAGGGTTCTTATATGCTGTATGTTGACTGCCAGCATTGCTTTGGAAGCAGTTGCTGTCTCTGGATCTCTGGCTGATGGGTATCCATTAATGGGTCTGTGGAGTATATAATTTGCCAATACAAATGGCAAGTCGAGGATCTTTTGGAATGAAACCCAATGCAACTGCTTAATGATGAATGTTTTCCTTTTGGTCTAGATAAATGTTAAAAAAAAAAAAAGTCCCTTTTTTGGCTCTATGCAACCATCTTTTGCCAGTTTCACCAACTGAAATCACTAAGGTGAAAGTGTTCTCTCCTGACTCAACATTCTGAGAGCACCTGCCACTGCTGACAGAAGCTACCCACTGGGCTATCTTGTATTCTGGTCCTACTTCCTTCACTCCTGCTGGGGGAGAAGAGCAGGCCTCCTTCTGAGCCAGGGCCTGTGCTTGCCCAAGAGTGGCAAGAACTTGGCCAAGTGAAGTCCACATCCTGGTCTGGAAGGTGACCTGACCCACCAACTGAGACTTCAGGTCAACAGGGCAATTTGCTTGTGGAAAATAAATCCCATCTCCTTTGAAAACTCCTCCTAAGAGGGCACTAAGCTGCTTGAGGACAGCTCTAGCACTGTCATTCCTTCCATCTTTCCCTGTGAGCACTCTTAAACACGTGTCTATTTAAGTGAAACCTGGTCACTAGATGCCAGTTCTTTCCACACAGTACCTCTCCAAGAGACCCAATGGCCTCAAGTGATGTAACGGAGCACACAGAACTCTCTGTCACAGTGGAAGAAGAAATAACATTACTTTTATTTTGAACAATTTTTATCAGAAAATATAAGGTCCCCAAGAAAAGACCCAGGCTTGCTATGACTTCCTTAGTGTTTCTAATAGGATTAAGGTCTGATCCCTTCCTCTTCCCATTTAATTTTCAGCAGCCTCCCCAAATTAACACACCAAGTTATAGTTTAGAATAATGATGCCTTGTACTTAGCAGAAGTCCATTCAAGATATTGAATTACAGAAGGTATGTGGGCCATTGTGGAAATTCTACATTTATAGGTAAAAATTCATTTGGTAGTTGCCTGAAGCAAAGTCAGGCCTACAATGGCACAAAGATGCCAACATAAGATATTGTTTCTCTCAAGATAAAAAATCTTAAGGAAAGAGTTTATTTAATGGTGGGAGGTGAACCACAATTACGTAAGGAAACTTTCTGACACGTGTTCTTCAGAAACAAGCACTGATTGCTTATTTATGAAGTGTCACAGACAGGAATCTGATTCCTAAGTTAGACTCAAACACTGCAGTGGCCATACCTCACTTTTCCCTGATCCCAGATGAAAGCTTTCTCTCAGAAGAGATGCACTGCCACCTTAGAGTTTTAGTTTTTAAAAGATGGACAACCAAAGAGAGTGCAGAAGGTGTGGGTGTGGAGAAAGGATGAAAGCTGCTGTTTACCAAAAGCCCTGTGCATTGTCTGYCTGCTGCTTGCTTTCCACATTCCTCAGTGAGACCAAGTACTTACAGAGCATTCAGCAGAACTGACGGGACTTCCAGCCCTGAGAAGTAGCCTCTGAGGGAGGGAGCCAGCGCATCTGGAAAGACACATGGGAAAAAGCTGTGAGCCAGGGGTCCCAGCCTACATTCTCATTCTTCCAATTTCCTACTGCTCCCAGGTAGTGCCCACTCACACTGGCCCGTGTGGGATTTGTCACTGAGGAGCTGAAAGCACCAGTGCAGTGAACTGAGAGCATTCATGCAGTTCCATGAACACCTTCTAAGCTCTCAGGGAAGCACTCGAAATTTTTCAGAAGTCCCTGCACTCAACCTCCTTTTCAAAGTTAGCAGCCATCATGAGGCATGGTCTGGCCTAGTGAATTCCCCTTTCCTTATCTGTGTTGATAAGGAAGAGGCAGTTCTTGACCTATTCTGTGATAGTGGCCTAGTCAAAACTTCTTTGAGGTTCTGATCCTATTATTTTAGAAAAAGGGTTCTGGTTTCTTAGAACTGAGGGCTGTCTCCTGCCTGAGGCTTTCTGCTCACTCTGCTGAGGAAAGGAACCTGCAGCTTGGGCAAGGAGCCTTGCACAGGTGAGACAGCAGTCCTATCTTTTCTACTACGTTTCCAAAGGGGAAGGCCAGTCCCAACACAAATTGAGTGATGCATTGTCCACTTGGCAGAATGTCTGGATCCCTGACACACCAAGAGCAAGTACACTTTGTTTTTAACAAATATTCACGTATTGGTGATGTCAGTTTTTGCCCCTAAGCTGTTGAACTGAGGCAAGAAATGCCTGTTCATTGCTGCTCCTCTTTTTACACTGAGGAGTGATGGCCTACCCATCACTATGACAAGCAACACAGGAAGCACTGGTGGAGTGGAGAATGGAAAGCAAATCACAACAAAAAGGGGACGCTCCCCAGCAAAGGGCTGGAAGGCCCTGTGTGAGGCAGCACCTCCTGCTGGTGTGGCAGGAGAAAGCCTCATTCAAACTTCTAAAACATCAAGCTGAAATAGGAGCCATTCTGGCTGAAAAGGGGAAGCAGTGGGACTACAGGCTGTTTCATCTTCCATTTTATAGGTGAGGAAACCAACTGGGGTCTGGATATTCTAAGTGACAATGGTCACAAAGCCCAGTGTAGTCAGGCTTGGTCAGAACTCAGGACTAGGCTACTACATCCCCTAACTTGATTCTAAAAGCTAGAATGCCTAGAAATTAGTCCCAGAGAGAAGTCATATTGTCTCTGACCTTTTGCCTTGGTCCCTCCAGGTTAAGTCCTGGGAATTCTTGTCCACCTCATGGGCCTTTTCATGTCCTCCCTGGTTGTCAGTGCAGAGGCAGAGGACACACTGGGGGACTCCATCCACAGAGCCAACTTGGAGCAGGTCTCTGGCCTAATTTTGGATATGTGGCTTGAAGGGATTAAGGATGCAGTCTGAGCTTCTGCTTCCACCAAGAACCCACCTCAGGGAATCCCTCAGGCCATCCGTGTGTTAGGTCTCTTCTTGGAAGCACATGGGATATTACCAGAAACCAGATACCAGCTGGAAGGAGGTCCAAGTACTTTAAAAGGGCAAAGTTGTATTCCCTGGAAGCCACCAGAGCCCCCAACTCTCCTTCAGGGCAGGGCCAGAATTACCTTTACCACTCATAGTAATTAAGGGGTTGAAGAATCACTTTCCCCTGTACATTGGCTAAAAGCACATTACTTTGGGAATTTAGGGATTTGAAGGGCAAAGGAAAAGAGAAAAATAAAGGAGGGGGAAATGTGGGATGTAGGGCTGGAAGGGAGAGTGAGAAGAGTATGGAGGAGGAGGGGACAGGGAGAAGAGGGTTCAGAAGAAAGAGACAAGAAAAAACTTGTACCTACCCCATGGCTTATGGCTTTGTGCATCTGAATCCACTTGCTCACTAAGCAGAGAGCAGAGTTGGAGCTGCCTTCCTGAGACAGGTGGTAAAGGAGGGGCCAGGACACAAGGCCCCTGGGGCAGGTGGGGAGCTGGGAACCTAGACACATAGTAGAAGGGGGATGGGTCCATGTGCACCGGGTCAGTGTGGAGTGCGGTGGCGGCTGTGCTGCCTGGGTGTGGGGGCGTTGAGCCCTGAGGAGGCCAAGACGCGATGGTGTTTCAGAGGGGACACAGGAAGGGGTTGACCAGGTGGAGAGCCGCAGAGTGGATGGCATAGGTCTGGGATCAGTGAAGGTGAGTGCACAAAGGAAGCCCCTTACCTCCCAGCCACCCCAGCCTCTCCACCCACCTCTCTAAACACACAGCCCCTGCATTCTCTCAGGCGCACATGCGTCTGTCCATCAGCCTGGGCTGGGACCATCCAGGGTGACAAGAAATATGGTTCCCAGTGACGTGGTCCAGGATAACTGCTCAGCTGAGCTGAGGTTGGAGGATGCCAATGTGGAAGCAGGCCAGCTGATTCTCAGAGAAGATGTGGTGGCAGATAGGGTACAGATGGACCGCAAAACGCATCACTCTTGTGCCCCATGGTTGGGACTACCGCACTCGCCAGAGTGTGGGCTCTTGTCACTGCATTCCAGAGACAACCCAAGATACCTCCTCTTCTGGCACTGAGGCCCAGTAGCACCCACCTTCCAGCAGAGGGCAGTGCCCACTAGGCGGAACTGAGCATTTTAGGTATGTTCCTGGCACAACATGGGGCCAGAGTTTATGGGGCAAAGCCAGGCGTCCGGGCAGCTAGACAGGATGTTTTGTTCTAATCACTGCTGTTTAGGGCTTGTGAGTSGAGGATTCCCCCTTATTCCCATTTGGGCCGCTCCTGCTGTGGCTTTGGGACCCAGGTCACTCCTGTCTATTCTCTAGGAGCTGCTTTAGATACATCATTAACAATGTGGAAAATCACAGCTCCTTGCAGACTCCCTATTACTCTTCTCCAGGAACAGCTCAGCAGGAGTTTAAGCCTACTCATGGCAACTGTATATGGATAAGGGCTGGCCTTCCATGTAAGGCAATGACTCTTGACATTTCTTCATCCTGTTTGTAGAAAAACCTACGAGTGTGCTCACACGTACTCAAACTCACACATTCACAAACCTAAATACAATTCCAGGGGCTTCTAAAGTCCCCATAAGAACCTTTAACATAATATATTTAACCAACACCGACCCTGATTTAATTTGGACAGAGACAGTACTAGGCACTTCAAAGGACTGTGAAATYTGTGTGCAAACTGGAAGACCTTGGGAATCTTTTATACTAGACCAGTTGCTTCTGTTACAATTCACTACTTAGGGGCTAGGCTTTTAGAATCCTCCCATCACTCCCTGCTACAGTGCTCTTATAAAATGCAGAGCCCCCTGCAAGGCAATACACAGACTCTAACATCTATCTCCAACTGCTGATGGAGTGGACAGGAGTACCAGATGCTCAAAAAAATGACTGGGAGCAAAAATAAAATGAAATGCTAGAGTTAGTGAGCATCCTTAAAAATAATTTACATCCTCTTCCATCTATAGATGAAGAAGCTAAGCCCTAGAGGATTAAAACACAAACCAAATTTATGTTCCCAATTAATTATGCCAAGGAAAGAAAGACCTCGACTGTCTTCAGGGCAGAACCCTGCTTGATCACCATCCCTCCTCTTTTCCAGTGGGTCCTGAGCACAAGTTAAGACACTGAGAGTCATTTGCCTAGTACTAGTCCCTTTCTAGTGACTGAGTTCCAGGAGCACACCCGCCTTTAGAAATAGTCATGAGAAATGCTTACCAGGTGCTGGCCAATTAATGGTCACTAATGGTGACCAATTAATGGTGCTGGCCAATTAATGGATACCCTTTGGTTTGGCTATTTTATTCTTTGCTGAATAGAAAAATAAGTCCAGATCAGTGGTTCTCTAAGTATGGTCCCAGAACTATCAGCATCCCCTAGAACTTGCTAGACAAGCAGAAACTCTAGGGCTGGAGTTCAATAACTCGCCTTTTAACAAGCTCTCCAGGTGACTGCAATGCACACAAAATCTGAGAGACTATGCTCTTGATCAAGGTTTCCAGATGTATGGCTGCTGGACTATGCTTCTCAGCAGATTCTGGATATAAAGCAGCACATGAAATGTTCTAAGAAATTCCAAAATAAAGAAACCTGTTTGACTTGACCTAGCCCTGGGTTTATCTGACCAAGGCATCTTTTAATTCTAGAAACACTATTAATGTTTTTGGCTGCCTAGAAATGGTAGTCAGGAAGGCCCCTGCCAGTRGATTCCTAGATCCATTTGGTAGATCTAAGCAGTTGAGGTGTGCCAATGTGGCATTCAAATTTCTAGTTCTTAATAAAAACTAATTTGTATTGGAAGACCACTAAATTGGCTGGTGTCCTARATGGCTGATCTGGGGCACTGAGGAGGATTTCCTTGTGCCTTTCCTAATGCAGGTGCAGGGTTTCTCAGGAAGCACATTCAGAAGATGTTCTGAACAAAACAATTAAAAACAGTAACTTGAACATTTTATATGAATGACTCAAATTAATGGATTTGTCAGATTTTTAAAAAAGAATTTAACCTTTATTTCTAATTTATAATAATTTTTTATGTGGTGTGGGGGATCGAACCCAGTGCCTCACGCATGCTAGGCAAGTGCTCTGCCACTGAGCCACAACCCCAGCCTGGATTTGTCAGTTTTTTTTTAATATTTATTTTTTACTTATAGGCATACATAATATCTTTATTTTATACTTATGCGGTGCTGAGCATCAAACCCAGTGCCTCACGCATGTTAGGCAAGCGCTCTACCACTGAGCAACAACCCCAGCCCCTGGATTTGTCAGTTTTTAGGCCTAGGTATTCTAAGTAGGTTTCTACCTCTGTCCCCAAATGGATCCTTGAATAATCTATCAGGGGCTTCCCCAACCTTGAAATGACTGCACTGAGCCACTAAAGTGCTGTTTTAATGACAATTAATTCTGTCCCCACTCACTGCAGACCTGTCTGGACCTTCTCTTGGGGCAGCATCACCAATTAAAACCCAGTCAAGTTCTTCAGTTGACTGACAGGGCTTCAAGCTGGAAGCACATTCTGTTGTAAAAAACCCCAAACTCATCCAAAAGAGTAATGGCTTGCATTGCAAAGATT